TTTGGGGCAAAACGGGGAGAAAACTGCCCAGGCCAAGCGGAAAAAGGTACAGGTTTTATTGATATTTTTGTGTTTGGGGATTGTTAAAAAAAAAACCAACCATCGTGCCAAGTAGGAGTGAGGTCAGCGTTGCAGATCGTGCTTCCATATGTGCTGATAATTTCCCTGGAATGCTGCGCCTCATCCGAGCCACGTGATGGGAAATTTTGAGCCTCGCTGAGAAGCAGAAGGGAATTTCTTCTGGAGATTCCGAGCTGGGTTTCCGTTTTGAGTTGTAATTTTTGTTGTGGTTTCCACAGCAGAGAAACTCCCAAGGCTGGGGTGTAAATTTTTCCCTGAGAAACTGCAGAGCTTTAAGGAGTTTCCCTGGAAGTTTCCCTTTTTGTTTCTCTTAAAAGGAATTTAGTTAGAACCTGAAACCAAAAGAATTTTTTCTTTTTAAAGAAATTCTTATTAAATTCTTATTATAATAAATTATTAAATTCTTTCTTCTTAAAAAAGACTTATTAAGTCTTCTGGGGTAAACTAAAGTTCCCATATTAATTACCTCGATATTCTCATTTCCGTTTAAGATATTAGTAAGTGTTACAACAATAAATCATATTGTTTATAAATATAATGTTTAAATTATAAGCATATCTAATAGAGTTACATATTAGATACATGTTATATTAGTTATATAAGTTAGTATAGTAGGTATAGTTATATAAGTATGTATAACATAACTATTTATAGTTATTTATAGAGTAGTTATTTATAGAATAGCTATTTATATAGAAGGAATATTTTTATCCACACATTTTTTTGATTACAGAAGGACTGTAATCAAAAACTGGACTTTTGAGCCCAAACAGGCAGAGTAATTTGATTTTTCTGAGGAATTTGGGCATTAATAATACCCGTGCTAAGATGCAGGTGAACAGGAACTTATCCTAAATTCTGTGGTGCTGCAGATGTTCAAGGTACCTCAAACATCTGGATGAGGAATGACTACCCAATTTTTTAATCCCATTTTTGATCCATTTTTGGGGTCTATATTATTTAATTAATTTATTTAATTTATTTAATATAATGTGTTTAATGGAATTAATTTATTTATTAATAACTATTAATTGTATTATATAATTATTATATATAAATTATATATAATATATACGCATATGTTATATGTTATTTATAATATAATATATAAATTATATATAATATATAAATATATATAACTATATTAATTATTGATGATTATTTATTAATAATTAATAAATCTATTAACTTAATCTATATTATTTTAGAACTTGAGCTCCAAATCTCTGAGCAATCCAATGCTTGAGCAAGTCACTCAAAACAGAGAATATTTCTAATTCTTCAATATTTTTCCAGCAGATCAATTTATTTTCTCCCTTCATTTAGATCAATAATTAATTAAGAGCGCTCCCGGGTCTCAGGGCTGCGATTCCAGCGGGAATTTTTTGGCCCAGTGATCCCGAGCCGTGCTGAAAGAAGGGATGAGCTGGCTGCAATATCCCAAATGACGTCAGAGCCTCGGGAATTGCGGCCCGGGCTGGCTGCGACTGATGTAAAAAGGCTGCAAGGTGGGGCTGATGTAACAGCTCCTAAAGCTCTTCCTGAGCTATTCCCAGGAATTCTTGGGATTCTTCCCCCTTGGAATCCTGAAGCCGTAAAAACCGGGAGCGTTTTGGGTGGATGTGCTGGGAGGGCAGGAGGCACCTGCTGCTCCCACGGATCTTTGGGATCAGGGATTCTGGATCCTCAACTGCTGATTCTTGGGAATTGCCTCTTCATCCTCTCCTCATCCCACCTGGGACAGCGGGAGGCGTTCCTGATGGAATGGGATGAGCCAAACCCTTCTGGAATTCCATATTTTCCTGGTTACAAACACCTTCCTCGTTGTGCTGATAAACCCTGGCAAAGGAGCAACACGTGGGGGTTTTTTGGTCCATTTCCAGTTTTTTTCTGGAATGCCAGTGTTTTGAGGAATCAATCCTGCTTTTGGAGGTGCTGACAGTTCAGCTGGTGCCTTTTTATAGCTGAATGCTCCAGCAGGAGCCTGAAATAAGCTGGGTTTAACTCAGACTTAAATCCTTACTCTAATCTTAGTCTAAACACTGCCAAGTGCAGATCCCGAGCCTATAAATTCCTTTATTTGCTTAAAATAACTGAATAGCTGTTAAAAAGTACCAAAAAGTGACAGTTTTTGTGTGTATATTTTTAATTTCCTTAGCTGAACTCCGCCCCCTGGAATTCCAGGAAGGATTGTTCCGCTCACGTGGGGATGAGTGTTCCATGTTCCTTCCTCACCCCGTGGTGACTCACGGGGCTCTTGACTCACCACAACCCTTCTGCCTGCTTTGGTTTGGGTTTTTTGGGATTGTTCCCACAATCCCAGGCCTTTTCCTGGAGCACATTCCCAGCCTGGCACGGTTACAACACAGGGAATGAGCTCAGAGCCCTCTGGAGTAAGTCTGGAGTATTTTGGGCCAGGCAAGTCAGCGCTGGGTGGTTTTTAAAGCTGAAAGTGAAATGTTTTGGGTAGGATTGAGGAGCAGGTCATGGAATTACGGAATTCCAGACTGCTTTGATTTGAGAGGATCTTCAATCCCATTCCATGGGCAGGGACATTTCCCCATCCCAGGCTGCTCCAGCCTGGCCTGGGACGCTCCCAGGGATGGAGCAGCCACGGATTCTCTGGGAATTCCATCCCAGCCCCTCCAGGGAAGGATTTATTCCCAATATCCCACCCAAACCAGCACAGGGAATCCTGGAATGGTTTGGGTTGGAAGGGATCATCCAATCCCATGGGTGGGGACACCTCCCACCATCCCAGGCTGCATTTTATCCATGTTCTTATCCATGTTCTTATCCATGTTCTTATCCATTTTTTACCCTTATTTTTACCCTTATTTTTACCCTTATTTTTACCCTTATTTTTACCCTTATTTTTACCCTTATTTTTACCCTTATTTTTACCTTTATTTTTACCTTTATTTTTACCCTTATTTTTACCCTTATTTAATCCATATTTTAATCCATATTCTATCCACATTTTATCCACTATCCAGCCTAACCTCGAGCACTTCAGGTACAAAACAACCCCAACTCCTCTGGGAATCCCATCCCACTCAGGAATTCCTCACCCTCATCTAAAAACCCCCAACCCCTTTCACCCCTTCTAAACCAAACTTCCCCAAAAACCCCCTCCGATTTAAATCAATTAAATCAACAATAGCAAATCAAATTAAATTCCATTCAGCCGGAATTCCTGATGGAAATCCTTCTTTTTTTCCAGGTGACATTCCTAGAAAAAGTGACGGAGTATTACATAAGCAGCGAGGAGGACCGGAAAGGACCCTGGGAGGAGCTGGCTCGAGATGGATGCAGATTCCAGAGGCGGATCCAGGAAACTGAGGAAGCCATTGGATACTGCCTGAGCACAGAGCACAGACTGAGGGTATTCCATAGGCTCCAACAATTCCATTCCCAAAGGACTGACCCCTTCTAGCACCTTAAAACTCTTTGGAATTTTATCCCACCCTTTAAATTAATGAAATCCCACCCGGAAATGGCAGCTGAGTGTGCTGAAACGGGGAGGAAAAAAAATGGGATTTTTATTTTTTTTTCCCCTTTTTTTCCCCCCCCCCCCCCCCACCCTCATTTGATATGGAATAATTTAATTTGCATATCCAGATAAAATCCCTGGAGCTCCCTGGAATGCTGAGGGTGCTCTAATTGCATTCCTGTTAATTAGCACTTGACACAACTGGACTGCTCGGGGTTCCATCCATTCCCAAAAATCACTTTTTTTTTTTTTTTTTGGGAAGGGGGGACCGTTCCGTTGGAATTTTTTTGCCTTTGGAAAAAAAAAAAAACCAACAAAAAAACCAACAAAAAAACCCCCTATTTTGAAGGAAATATTTATGGGATTCATTCCTTGGAATTGCAGTTTTGATTTCAAATTCCCTGAGGGGTGTGCTGGTGTGTTTTGGGGTTTTTTGTTTTTAATGTTTTTCCATCTTTTCCAAAAGCCTCATTTTTAAAAATCCCTTCCTTTAAGGAATTTTTTTCCCTTTTTTTTTTTCTTTTTTTCCTGGAATTATCCAAACCTTTTGAGTGTTTTTGGGGCTTTTTTGAGGTTTGAATATTCCAGCCAAGCTTTGTTTTGATTGATTTGAAATAATTCCCTTTTCCAGGATTATTCCAGAGATTTTTTTTGGCTGCTTGTCCCAACAAATTCCTTGGGTTTTTTTTTTATGGCAAGGAAATTCCTCATCCCAATTAATAATTAAAACTTAATGAGGCTGTGGATGATGCTTGAATTTAGGGAGGAAAACTCCTTAATTATTTAATTAATCTTTGCTGTAATTCTGCTTTGGGAGAGGGATTGAAGTGAATTTTTAGATCCAATCTGCTTATCCTGATAATTTTCTGGGATTTAAGGAAATTATCTTGGGTTTAAAGAAATTGAAAGGCAAAAATTCCCTGTTTTCTTTCCCAAAAAATCAGTATTAACTCCTTGTGTCTGCACTGGGCTCACCAGAAACATTTCAGTGAGAGGACAAAACTCTTATTTATATATTTTTTTTTTAATTTAAAACATTAAATTATTTTAATCAAAATCATTGAGGGGGATGGAAAAAGGGGTTTGGAGCTGGAGGTTGGTGTGGGAATTTTCCAAGCAGGGAATAAAAATGGAAAAATTCCAATGTTTGCACAAAGTTGGATCAATAAATCAATTATTTGTTCAGCTGGCCGGAATATTTTCCATTCTGTGGAAGAAAAAAAACTTTGAAGTTTATCCTCAATTCCTTCAGTTTTGAATTTGGAAGAAAATTATTTAATCCCCTTTTATCCTGACTTGAAAAATCCCAGAATTTTTGGATTTGTCCTTTATTTTTATTGCAGGAAGTGGCTTCTTGGAGTTGGAAAAAAAAAAATCCCCTTTTGGTGGTGCAAGTAGAAAATCCGGGGGATTCATTCAATTAGAGTTAATTGGAATTCCAGCTGCTTTTCATCCCAAAAAATTGGATTTTTTTCCTCAAAAAAAAAAAAAATATTTTTTGAAGATTTTGCTCACATTTGGATCTGCTTTTGAATTCAGGGGGAAAAAAACCCGACAAAAAAAAGTGGAATTCCAAGAGGAAAAAAATGTTTGGATTTTTTTTCCCCGAGGGAAACACGCTGCGCCCGTTTTTCCATGGATCTCCCAGTCGGTTTTTCCCACGGATCTCCCAATCCCTGGGATCTTTGGGAATGTGGTGCTTCATTTTTTCACGGACAACTCGGATTTCTTGGTGCTCGGGAGAGCCTTGGGAACGCTGGGAATCCAGAGCTGCTTGGAAAAACGGGAATTAAATAAGGACCAGCTGCTTCCAAAAAATGTTAAAACCTTGGGGAAAAAAAAAAACAAAAAAAAAAAAGGAATTTTTTCCTCAGCATTCCCAATGCTTGGATGAGCTTTTCCCACTTCTCCAACCTCCTTTTTCCCAGTTATTCCCGTGGGGAAACGGAATTAACTCCAAACCCCTGAACGCCTCAGAGTTCCCCTTTTCCCTGGGAAAATTCCTTGAAGTAAGTGGGAAGCAAAACTCGGGATTTAAATCAAAACTGCCGTCCCGCAGATTTTTATTTTTGTATCATTTGGGGAAAAGTTTGGATTTGGCTTTCTATGGATTTTTTCCTTGATTTGTGGCCCCTTGGTTGGGTTTTTTTTCTACCTAAAAAATTCTATTTCTGTACATAAGAAACTGTTCGGGACTAATCCGTGCGTTGGAATAAAGAGATTTGCAGGATAAATCCGGGAGAATTTGGGAAAAAAAAACGCTGTGAAATCCAAGGATTTCTCAGTGGGGAGAAGCTGCTTTGGTCATTCCGTGAGTTTGAGAGCTGGGAATTCCATCCAGGGAATGTGAAGCTGGAATTCCTGGCAGGAGCTGGGAAATGATCCCAAAATTAGGGGTGAAGGAGGAGCAAACTGGATTTTTCCAGGGATTCCCGAGGAATGGGATGAAGGATTTTTGGGATTTAACCAAAATCAGTCACCCCCAGGGTTCTGCTCTACTTGTGGTCATTCCCTGGGAATCTCTGGAATGCTGAGTTTGGGGAAGAAATTCCATGTTCCTGGAGGTTTATTCCTTAAAAAAAAAAAAGGAATAAACTCAGAATTCCCACTTTGGAGCACAATCCATGTCTTCCTTTCTTTCTTTTCACTTTGTTCATCCCTAAAACACCCCAGGGTTGATTTTCCTGATTATCAGGATAAAAAAAAACCTGCTGGAATAAAGAAAAAACACGGAATTTCCTGCAGAATTCCTGAAAAAGAAACAAAAAAACAGATACGAGGAATGTGGAGTGGTTTTAAAAGCGGATTTTTAAATTCAGAATAATTTACTGCCTCTAAAATTGGCTTTAAAATGAAAATTGGGATTTCTCCCTGCCGGGAAAAAGCTGGAAGTGGCACAGCTGGGGTGCAGGGAAAGCTTCATCCTGCTTCATTCCCACTGGGAATTCTTTATCCCATCAGCACCAGGCTGCGCTTGGAGGAGAAGAACTCCTGCTTTGATCCCAAAATTGCAGTTTTTCCTGGGGCTGGGAAGCAGGAGAAGGCACAAAGATGGAATTTTGCCGCATTCCAGGGAGAGGAGTTTATACCCAGAAAAAAGAACGGGAGGAATTCCCGGTTTTTGTGCTCCAGCTGGGAATGCCAGGAGGGAGCCGGTGGTGTTCCCAACCTGGAATCCAGCTGGATTGGAGCAGGGGGAGGAGTGCCAGGGACACCTCAGCACAGAATTCCCAGAGAATCCGTGGCTGCTCCATCCCTGGAAGTGTCCAAGGTTGGATGGGGACGATGGAAATTGTCCCTTCATTCCCTAAGGATGATCCCTAAATCCTCCCCATCCCGAGCATTCCATGGTTCCAGTCAGGGAGGGGACATCTCTGGGGACGCATCCCTCGTATTCCCGCTTTGCTTGTTTTCCCGGGAATGTTTTGTCCAGGAGGTGGTGCCAGAAGCGCTCGGGACTCGCAGGCAGCGCCACCCGCTGTCCCCAAGTGCCACCCCCGGGAGCCGCAGCCGCGCCCGGTTCTGTGACATTCCTGGCGCCTGAGCCACCACGGGATCCCGCAGGAAACATCCCCAGCCGGGCAATGCTCTGGATGGAGGAGGAGGTGGCAGCTGCTGGCTTCTCCGTGGGGATGTTGGAGCTGGGAGGAAAATCCAGGAAAATCAAGGAGAAGAAAGTCCAGAAAAGGAAGGGAAGGGGAAGGAAATTCCTGTTGTTGGGAGCAAAATCCTCGTCCCCAAACTGCCATCCCTGTCCAAGGCCGGGGATCTTCCTGCGGGATCATTCCCTCTCATCCCGCTGTCCTCTTCCTTTTGTTATCCCAGGAAAAGGCAGTGAATCCGCCTGTCTTGGACAGGGGATGGAATTTGGGCGTCCTGGGAGTCACCACAACCCTGAACCGGCTCCAGCCTGAGCTCCCGATTTATTTCCCTCAATCCCAGATCCCTCCACTTCCCCATCTTGCTCCTCCTTGGGGGGAAAAATGAGGAATTTGAGGCACAGTCACGGATGGATGGGGAGGGTGGGAGTTTGGGATTTGTGCTGGGAATCACGGCAAAGTCACCCGAGGGGATGGATCCCTGTGGATAACACTGGATGTCCATCCCTGGAAATGTCCTGGGCCAGCCTGGACAGGGCTTGGATTAATCTGAGATACGGAAAATCTCCCTGCCCGTGGCACTGGATGAGCTTTAAGGTCTCTCCCAACCCAAACCAGTCCGGGATTCCATGGAAACCAAAACCCCTGCTGGTATTCCCAGGCTCCATGGAATGAACAGAGATTTCCAGGCGGAACTGCCCAGGGAATGGGGGAGCTTTTCCAGGTGAAACTGCCCAGGGAATGGGAGAGTTTTTCCACGTGAAGCCATGCCCAGGGAATGGGGCTTTTCCAGGTGAAACAATGCCCAGGGAATGGGGCTTTTCCAGGTAAAACAGTGCCCAGGGAATGGGGCTTTTCCAGGTAAAACAATGCCCAGGGAATGGAGCTTTTCCAGGTGAAGCCATGCCCAGGACAGTGGCAGCTGTTCCAGGTGCCATCGGCTGCTCTCCCAGAGGGACCAACCAGACGTGTTTTTCTCATCCAGTGGTTCAAAGAACTCCTGGAAAAGCTTTCGGGGAACTGGTTTCCCCAAATCCCGGCGGGGAGCTGCTCTGATGTGGGGACTGAGCAGGAAAAGCCCTGAAATGCTTCAGTGACGGTGCTGGGTCAAATATTCACCTTGATCTTGGAAATCGCTTCCAACCTTAATCCTAAAATCCCTGCTTTGACAGCCAGGGATTCTTTTGGGAACCAGGAAATTTTGGGGTGTTTTTTTCCCCCTTCTTTTCCACCTCCGAGGCTTCTCCCGAGCCAGCATCTCCCTGCCGGTGCCACGAGCAGCTTTGGGAAGGCGCCGCTGAGGCAGGGAGGGCGAATTGGCTCCTTCAGTCAGCGGCCCAGGAGCCTCCCAGACCCCACCTTTGGCCTTAAAAGACATTTTTAATTGAGGGCTGCGAGAGCAAATCCCCGCTGGGCAGCCCCAGGAGTGCCGCAGATAATCATCAGGGTGCCCTAAATACGGCTTGGCCGCCACATCAGACGGGGCCAGAAGAATCCCACATTGTTCCAAACGAACAGGAGAGGGAAGTAACAACTCCATAATTACTCACCTCCAGTTAATTGATGGTAATTACAGCGAGTAGGCACTGGAGGAAGCGCAGCGATGGGCTGGCCCTGGAGAGTCACGGGGAGGGTGCCCTGCCGGCTCCGAAGGGGTTAAACTCCATGGGTTTGGTCGGGGAATTTTTTTTTTTTTCTTTCCTTTTCCCTCCCTCGCGGGTTATTGGCAGCGCACAGAGCCGGGCTGGAAGGGCTGAGCTTTGCTCCCGAGGACTCGCGGGGCATTTTCCGGGCCGGGTTCCGTGCCCGGGCTGCTCCGTGCCCTCCGTGCCACCCCCATGGGGGATGACATCGACTGGCTGGACCTGCCGGGCAGGTGGACCTACGGCGT